ATGTTTTTTTTTTTTTTCTATTTATTCATCACTAACATAATGGGCTTTGAGAGTTTATTATTGAATAAAGAATTAAGGAATTTGCACCCTCCACTTAAATAATATGAAGATATTACATAATTACATCTCATATATAATTATTTACAAACTAACTAAATTTGTTAAATTTATTTGCATATATGCCTAAAAATATGTGTTTCATATTTATAGTATTGTTACTAGATAATGGAGGAATTAATGAGGATTTATCGGTTACCAAAAACTGATTTCCTATTTATATGGTAACTTCCATCATCTACGCCTCTCTCCTCTCCCCTCCCCCCGCTCTCTCTTCTTCACACACGACCCTCTCTATATCTTATTCACACAAGTCCCGCCGCCACGCCCGGCTTCTCCGCCAAGTACGTCCCCTTCAACGCCGTCCTCCACCGATTCCTACTCCTTCGACGAGATCGTCTACCGAGCCATTCCCGCGGTCGCCATCTACATGTAGGCGATGCGAGAATCGTTTTATATGGAGTCGACGAGAGAGAAGATGAATATATTCCGAGGCATGATTTCCTCAATTGCCGCCGACTACGGCGTCCACTAAAGAGGGTTTAGGCGTCGCCACAATCGGAGGGAGATGATTGGTTGGTTGCAGGGAAATTGGATTTTGCTTTAATTTTTTTTAGGGTTTTGGATTGTGTGTAGATTAGTCATTACGTTGAAATTCGTAGACATTGGATTGAAGTATATGTATAGTATATGTTTGGTATATGCGATACCTTTTTGTTGTCGTTTTTTTATGTTACGTCTGGTATATGCGATACCTTTTTGTTGTCGTTTTTTATTATTCAATGGTTTATTTCTGCTATATGTTTGGTATATATATGTGATACCTTTTTGTTGTCGTTTTTTATGTTACGTTTGATAGATTTGTTTGTCATTTCTATCTTAAACCAAACAATATATTGTAGAACATAAAGATAAAATATATTGAACATAAACTAAAAACATGCTTATACTGCACATACAAAAATAAATTGTTGAACATAAACCAAACATATTAAAACTACACAATTTATATCTATGAACAAATACCAAAATATATTGCACATATACCTTCTCTGTGACGTGAAATATACTCAATAATCGTGAGTGATTAGTGAAATATACATACTGAACATAAACCAAATAATATATTGTTGAACATAAACCCCAAATAAACTGAACATAAAGATACAATATACTGAACGTAAACCAAAAATATACTTGTATTGCACATATTAAACTAAACTGTTGAACATAAACTAAAAATATTAAAACTACGCAATTTATTTCTATGAACAAATACCAAAAATATACTGCCCATATACTCCCCGAACGTCTTTCACCTTTTTTTTATGTGACGCGAATCGATTTGTACAGGAGATCTGATCGTCTTTCACTATGAACAAATACCAAAAATATACTGCACATATACTCCCCGAACGTCTTTCACTTTTTTTTTCCTGTGGCGTGAATCGGGAGTTCCGATTGCTTTGTTCTGTGTTTTAATTTCTCGAATCGATATGTGTAGAAACGACGACTATTCTTCAAAGAACGATTTTCATATCTTTCCATTTGACACGCAAAGTCGTTACTCTTATGATTTAATTCCATATTGATGAAGCTATTTTTTTTCTTCGTCGTATCAATGAAAGAACGATTGGCAAAACACAAATTTTTTCTCTGGTATATGTTCGGGAATGGAGAAGATCGACGACGATCACTTCTGCTTTTTTTTTTATTTTTTTTTCTTCCGCCTGTATCAATGATCTTGTTTTTTCAAATTCAAAATATGATTCTTTCCATCATAAATCCAGAAATCGTGAGCAAAAATAATGGGATAGGGTTGACAAAGAGGAATAACTGAGTTAGGCATGAATGTAAATAATACTTATTTATTAGGTATAATCTCAATTAAAATTTTATTAATGGTAATACTACAATTTCTTTCAAATCGTGTACTATACTTAAAAATTTCCTTATAGAATTTAAGGAGTTTTAATACTCTCAAAAGTTGCCTAATCCAGATGGAATAATTCCAGATGAATAAGAAAATAGTTGGTGTTTAAACAATAATAGTCAAATTAAACGTTTGGAATCTTGTCCAAATTCAAAGTCCCCGACAAGATCAAACCTAGCAAAATTATAAAAGCATGATTACGATAAATTTAGTTTAACGAAAATACATTGCAATAGAATTTCATCGTAATTTTAATATATATTTTGTTGTGATAAAGTTTTTTTTTTTCATTTAATTGTGATAAAGTTTGGTTGAAAACTCCATAAATGAAATCATTTTGTTGGAATTTTTATTGAATTTCGATAATTTTGATGGTCATTTTTTTTTAATGATTTATTTTATGAACAGAGAGACCACTCTAACATAATTATTAATAAAACGTGTTGTTTGAAATATCCGGGAAAGAAAAAATTAATTCTCAGGTGATTTATGTAAATTTTTCGATTTTAATTCCAGATAATTTAGAGTTAACATTCCTTAGGTTTTTGGTAGACAAATAAGCTAACTTATAGTTTATTTGATTAGTTTATAAGCTCTCTGTATTCAAATATTTGGTAGGAGGACGAGTTTTTCTTAAAATGCTCGAGCTTATTTGATAAACTTATTTAGATAGCTTTTCAAATCAGTTAGTTGAA